GCTCGAAAGACCTGTGATGTCTTGCGCCTGGTAACCCTGCATCGGAGCTCTGATCAACTGCAGCGGCCGTCGTCGCACTCACGATTGATTCGACATCGCGTGTAACACTGCCCTCCTGTGCATGGCATCTGCCAAACCAGTCGAGCAGAAACGTGGGGCTGCCCAGCTTAGCTGCAATGTCGTCGACACCTTCCGCCTCACACGCGGAAACATCACAACAGTAGTTTACCAGGCTCGGCCTCCGCCTGCCCCATCACTGGCAATCGGAGGGCAACTCAAAGCCTCCCATCCGCATTTCCTGGCGGGCAGGAAGCACAACAAAGATGGAATCACCGCCATCACCTTGAAATCACCAAAGCGGCTGTAAACAACCGGAGGCACAAGCACTTGCCCTGAAAAATCACGGACCACCACCGATCGGTCGCGGCCGGAAGTCCCGCGCAGCTCTCCACTTAAGCAGCGTCCAACCTCCTTTGCAATCGCCTCCCGGAAGCCTCAGCCCCGCACCAGGCGCCGTTCACTGGTGCGTCTGGCTCCGCACTCGACCCCGAAGGGCCGTCAAGGGGTCTGCTAGTGTCCGCGGGCTCACAGCAGGCAAGCTAACTATCTCGAAGCATCAAGTTCTCGCACAGCGCCCGCCAGCTGGATGACCCTGCTCTGGAGCTCCACGACAATAGCTCGCAACACCTCTATATGTCGCGAGACGCGAGAGCTCATGCACAGATGATCACAGCAATCGGTCAAGCGGCTCTCGTTCTACGAAGCCAAAACGTCTCAGAGCAGCCCTAAAGATCAGCGTCCTCGCGTAGGCGTTGTGGCTTACCAGGCGTAGTTTTCCCGAAAAGGATCCGCCAGAAAGCCACATCCCTAAGCGTGGCATCAGCGCAAGATTGCCCACATCATCAAGGCTTGACCGAACTTGCTGCCTTTGAATAGGCCAACTTCGTGACAAGCCAGTCAATTTGCAGAGTGCATGCTACAACGGGCTGCTACTTGCATATCGGTGCTTGCTCTTCTGTGTTTACTATCAAGTTGCTCCGTGATACATTTTATTTCGCAGAACGAAGCGAAATACAACACCAGAACCCAGCTGGCACAGGCGAGCCTGAAGAAGCCGTTCCAGAGCCCGAACTTTCTAGAGAGGAATGACCTCGCGTACGATAAAGGCCTCGGAAAACCGAATCAGAGAGGCAGCGCACTGCCTACAGATACACCATTCAGCAAGCTCTTTGCCTGGCAAGGCTCTTGCAGTCATGGCTGCAGGAGGGGGCAGTTGGTGGCGCGAAGCCAGAGGATTTCGTGGGTTGGGAGTATGCTGGCACGATCGCCAAAATCCCCACGGCAGAAATCACCGAGGCGACGCCAGCCATGGGACCGTGGAGAGGGGCAGGCGGCCTCTTACGGAACCGATTCTTGGCTAGGAGCAGGACCCCCATGGCAGGGAGCAAAAGGCAAAGGGAAGCAGGTAGGTGCAAAGGCCACCAAAGGACCGGTTTACCATACACCGGCTTGGCAAAATCCTGCACCGCCGTGGACTTCCGAAAGACAGGTCAGTGTCCCTCAGCCGCCGGCATTTCCGAGCAGGTCTGGCGACATTCAGCTACCAGAGCTTGTAGGCGCACTCAAGGGTGCATTCTCACACTCGTCCATGCCCGCGGCTGTTGCGGAAGCATTAGCGAAGGTGCAAGGCACCAACGCAAAGCAACAGACCAAGGAGCTACACACTTTGACATCGCAGTTGGGAGCTTCCAAAAAGCAGCTTCAGACCACCAGGGCTGCGAAGCATGCGCAGGAGCATGCATGGACAGCATTCCTTCAACAGACTGCGGAGGCGGTGGAAAAGGGAAGTATGGACCATGCGGAGCGCATGGAAGAGTACAGGCAGAAGGAGGAAGAAGTGGTGCAAAAGATCACGACAGCAAAACGATCCATGAGAGCGCTGGCTTCGGAGAAAACGGATGTCGAGGATGTAGACGCTTCGGAACCAGAGATGATGGAGGCAGAAGCTCAGGCGGAGGACGACGAGGGGCCTAAATTGCAAGCGCAGAAAAAACCGCGCTAGGGGCTGCTCTAGAAACCTTACCCTCCGGTGGGGAAGGTACTCCCGGCAAAAACAGGACGTCCCGGCCTAGGCCTTGATGCTGCGTGGACACTCGGACACTATCAACGGCCCATCGTAATGGCTCACAGCGTGTGTGTGGAGCCGGATTACAAGAGTGAACACATGGCAACGCAGTAATGCCTGAGGCGGTGGATGGTAGAACGCTGTCTGTACGTCTACGACGGGGACAGCGCTGACGAGAAGCATGCCGTTGGCTTGCTCAAGCTGGCCGGCGGTGTGTTGAGGTGATCTTTGCTTGCGACCTGGACGGCCGGTGCCTGGTAGCAGTGCCGCAGCAGGCATGGAACCGCGGAGGTGCGGGCCAAGTTCTTCCCCCCGCTCCTTGACTCCTTGGTGAAGGCCACGGCCGTCGAAGTAGCAGCGGCTGCGAAATTCGGATGAAGGTGTGTCTGGGCTTTGTGGTCACGGAGCTGGAGGAGCAGGTCAGCTGCGAGGCCCCCGACGAGAACACCCCGGTCCTTTGTCACCGCTGGGGGCGGGTATGTCTGCGCTACTCCTGCGAAGGCGCCTTCTTTCAGTGATGGACTTGATCTTCGCAGCTGCATTTGGCCCCGACCCCCCCTCGGGTGTGATCTGTTTGTCGTCCGAGCTTAGGAGCAAGTTGTGGTGCTTGGTCGGCCTAGGAGCCTTCGCTGGGTTGATTTGCGAGCAGAGCCGGCCAACACGGCCACTGATGCCTCGAGCTGGGAGGTGCTGCTGCACGTGCCGATGTTCCTGAGGGCTGCGTGCTAGAGTTCATTCGCCATTCGTCGTCAAAGCGAAGCTGGACAAGACTGCTCCCGCCCGGGACTGGACCCTGGGTTGGAGCCGCCGAGCGAGGGGAACCATTCGGGCCGAATGAGTTTGCAAACACTCTTGCGGCATCCTATGTGCCCTACCTACAAGGAGCGATGGAGGAAGCAGTTCAGAACACATCAATTGCAATGAGCTGTGCATCTACTTCAACGAAGAGGGGCGGATCGCTAGGTCTCATGCTCCCTGCCGACTGCTGTCGGGGCTTGATTCTCAGGTCAGCCTGGGCAGCTTGGTGAAGGGGCGAAGCGCTTCTTCTGTGTTCAATGCTACGTTGTCTGCCACCATTGGTCCGTACCACGGCGGCGGCATATACCTTTATATACCTTTCTTTTGGTTCTATCCGACAGATCTTAATCCGGCAGATGGGCCAACGCGTGGCAAGCCCCCGCCTGCTGCGAGCAAACCCCTGCCAGTTTGGTGGATGACCTTTGCGCAGGGCGGTATGAAACTTTTGATGCAGGGTTGAAGTCTTTGCTGAGCTGGGCTCCAAGAGCGGGTTTTTCTCACGTGGTCGGTGCCTTGTCTTTGAGGTTAATTGCATTTCAGGAGAGCTATTCAGGGCCGCGGCCGAAGCTTCCGGTACGACCGAGGAGCCCCCTGTCGGCTATCCCCCGCCGAGCCTCCCTGGATGCTTTCTTCATCACGTACTCGACCCGAGGTGGCCAACCGGATTGGCGTCTTCTCTGTTGTGGGCACTTCGGTGTAGCAAGGTAACAGCATATCGGTGTTTTGGTTGCAAGTCTTTCGACGATGCATAGCCCGTGGTACGCACTGGTGGCTGGAGCATCCTGACTCGTCTTTGCCTTGGGAGCTTGAGGACTCCGTGGCGTAATCATATGAAGGTGGCCATGTCGCTGGAGCTCAAAGGTCCCGCAGGCTCTGTCGGAGCCACAAAAATTTCTATGACGGAGATGGCCAAGCGTGTAGGCTTTGCGGATGGACTTGCTGCTGCGTCTGCCAGGACTGTGGGCTGCTGGATGGTGCTCACGCCGGGGCAAACTGCATCTGGTACACTGTGCGAGGTGTACCAATGCGGATCGGTGAGGCCCAAAAGCCACCTCCTCGAAGGAAGGCTGTTCGCAGGGAGGGTAATCTGGATTCACGACCATTGGACGGCGACTACTCTCATTTATCAGGATCGGAATCGGCTGTGGGAGGCAGGGAGGCATTCCTTATGTGGTGCTCCCTTGTCTGTTTGTTCCCTCTCTTGTTTTTTCTCTTTGTCCTGCGCTCGCCGCCGTTTCAGTTGGTGGACGTAACCGCGTGCCACGGCCAAGCTCTTCGACTTGTCAGCACGAGCACTTTTTGTACGTTTTAGCTCCTCGCCTTGCTCTGGGACTAAGGCTGTCTGGCGTTGGCTCCATTGGAGCTTTTGCCTGACTTTCAGTTGCTCGTCAGCTGCCGCTCGCACCTGGCCGGCCCCGTGAGACGTGGAAGTACAGTGAAGCTCCTACTTTGCTGTTGACGGAAGCCAGCGCCCCTTTTCGAGTGCTGTGCTTCTGCAGCCTCTTTTGTAAGCTGATCGTGAAGCTATACTTGAACCTGTCTTTGGCATTCTTTGGCCCCGACGTTGTCAAGCACGGCACCTTCGGAGGTTATGCATTCAACATGCACCCCTCATGTTTCATGCCAGCGACGTGAGTTGTTTCGGCTCACCCTCCCTCACTTGTCAGCGTGGCTGGCTGGAGGGAAGTACAGTCAAGCTCCTTTTGCTGTTGACGCAAGCCGGGCCATTTTTCGAGCGCCGTGCTTCTGCGGCCTGTTTTGTAAGCTGCTCGTGAAGCTAAACTTATCTTTAGTACCGACTTAACCAGCTTTATTTAGCTTCGGACACAACTTCTCATGCGGTGCCGGGAAGGCAAGGCATCTTCAGAAGGCAAGCATTCAACATGATAACTGTATTACAGGGGGTTTATCGCCGGGAGTGATCGGACATAATGCGGGCTCCGAAACCTGCGTCATGAAGGGGGTGAAAACCCACTGATCCCACTGACTTTTTTTTGCACCAGCACCCCTGGAACAAGAGAGAACATGCCGTCATGATCGCACTTTGAAACTATACGATCGTCGCCGCATGGGAAGCATGTCTGGCTCCGGAGTCTGTTGAAAGCAGTGTGCATTCTTTCAGGTTTTGCTTTCGGCTCCGTAACCTTGAAAGTCCAGCGCATGACTCACGACACATTTCAGCTGAAAAAGGAATAAAGCCAATAAAGCGTTGTTGTGTTGGGACGCTTGGTTCCGGCATTGGCAACGACGTATCACGATTGTCACATATCCACTGGCACACTGCTTGCAGGACCGCATAGATGAAGTGCCTGCTGGTGCCTGCCACAGCACTTCGTGCCGTCTGCAGTTTGGTCGATCGTGCGGCCAGACTTGCTCTCCGGATGCATGGTTGCATCGAGGTGTCAATGACATCTGGGCAGACTATGTCATCGTGCCGTATGTGTTTGATCACGATGTCGACAATGCCCGAAAGGCATGCAGATCTCAGGGTGCGTGCGATTGGACCTGCTGTTGGGAAGCTACGAAGAAAATGAGAAGACTGACTCAGAAATCAATTAGCTGAGCGCCTCGCAGGAAGCTTTCCGAGCAGCTGTTGTCCGCTGGCATGAGGGAACGTGCGTGGTGCTGAAGGAGGCCTGAAAAGAGGGAAGACGTCGCTGGACAGTTCTGTCTCTAAGCTCAAAGGTTTTGCAAATCCACGTCAGCCAGCCGTACATCCAGGCCCGCTTTCGGTGATCCAACTTGTTTTGCCCTGGCTTGGACATTTCTTCTAACCTCTCCGCTCAAATCCACCAACGACAGTCCCAAGCTCAAGGCTCGAAGCCGGGTCGGTCCAGCATTCGCTCTGCTCGTTTTGGGGCTCAGATCCTGGGGGTCTGGTTCCTGGGGCTTGCTTTTCTTTCAACCCCTCAAAATCCGAAATCAAAGTGAATAAATGCATGTAGGAGACTGCTCGGCATATCAAGAAACGTCCAGCATGCACCAAAAGTGGAGAGTTGCAAACACACGATACAGAACAAAAGGAAAAATCTGGCTTCTGATGACAGCGATTGTCCCTAATGGTTTTAAACATGTAATGAATGAACAGCCGGCAGCTTTCAACTTACATACATTTCCCATGCACATGTTGCCATTGTTCATGGCAATCTCATGCTTTCTTCTCATCACAATGGTGAATCAATGATGAATCAGCTGAAGTCCCCATGCTCATTTTGACATGTTACAGGGCTAGCGGAAGCTTGTGTGTCAGCTGCACCGCCAAACAAACTCAAACTTGTCATGCTCGTTTTTGACATTTTTGCTGACATCATTCATACAGTCTCATGTATTTGGTGCTGTCACAAATGGTCCATACATTGAAGTTCACATGCTCGTTTTAGCAGTGTTCATGACAATTTCATGTGTTTCCCTCACTTGGCATGGTCATTTTTGACATCATTCACGACAGTCTCATGTTTGGTATTCTCACAAATGGTCCATATATTGAAATTCACATGCATTTGGTGATCTCACAAATGGTCAACAAACATTTACTAATAGTCCCGTTGAAGTGGTCATTTTTTCAATTTGTGCATGAAATTCTATGCACCGTTTTTCTCTTTTTGATGACACTTTTATGCATTTCATCACGAGTATGAGTAAAGGTATGGCAACCCAAATGGATTTTAAAACTATTTTTCATGGTTTAGTCTCAAACAAAATGCTGTTTTGACAAGTTTCACAGTCATGTTGTAGATTGCCCATGGCAAATTCATGCAGTTTTTTCAGCACTGCATGAAGACCAAATGCATTTTTTCTACAGTTGTAATGCTCATTCTTCAGAGAAACATCGGATTTTGAGAGATTTTGGTGGATTTTGAGAAATTTTGAGAGATTTTGAGTTTTTTGAGCCGGGGACACATGTTTCAAACAAATGCTTGTTGAATTGCATTTTTGAAAGGTTATGAGGGCTTTTGAGAGATTTTGAGTTTTTCGAGCCGGGGACACATGCTTCAAACAAATGCTTGTTGAATTGCATTTTTGAAAAGTTTGGAGGGATTTTGTGAGATTTTGAGGTTTTTGATTCGGGGACACATGCTTCAAGAACGCTTGTTGAATTGCGGTTGAGGGGTTTTGAGAGATTTTGAGTTTTTTTTATGTGCAAATGGGGCGTTCAATTCAAATCAATATACTCATTTCATGGCTTCTACATATAACATTATCTTCATTTCTTCACAATTGGCATGGCAGTTAATGCTGATGCCTGCTCATTTTTGTTTTTTTCATGGCATTTTGTGTTTCCAAAGTGGTTCTTTTGCAAATGCAAATTGTCATTTGTTGTATGTTTGACAGTTTCGCTTCAACTGAGTTTATTTTTCATCTCACAACTGGTCCTGCGCATTTCGTTCAAAGACCCATTTCGACTTGATTGTTGTTTTTTCACACGGAGTTCTCTGTCACATCATCGTCCTCATTGCACCAATCCGCTAGGCAACCCGTGCAGTGGTCGACATTTGATCCGCATGAACGCCGCATGAACGGTTCCTGGTGACTCAATTGATGTGTTTGTTTACGTCACAAGTGGTTCTGCAACCTTCAAGTCATTTCTTTAACTTGTTGTTCCGATTTTATGTAAAATTTGCCTAGCGTAAATCCAAATCCCGTCATGGCACAATGATGACTGAGGCACGACACATGACAATACCAACTGTGTTGGTATTCTTTACAAATTTACATGGTTGCTCTTTGACATTTTGGCAAAGTAAGGATATCAGGCTTGGACAGTTTCAGAAAAAATCAGACCCTCGCTTTGTTTCCTTCAGAAGTTTCGGATGATCAGGCATGAACATTCCAGCAAAAGGTCACACAGCATTCCTCGCAATATTCACTTCCGAATATGTTTTATCCTTTAACATTTGAGGAAATTGGTTTTTGCCTCCGAAACCCCCGGATCCAGACTTCCCGGATCTGAGCCCAAAACGGGCACAGAGAAGCATCATGCAAGCATGTTATCTTCGGAACCCGGTTGTTCCGGTGAAGAACGCGGACCTCCACCGCTGTCTTCGCTTGATGAACAAATCGAAACGAAAAATCCACCAAAGTGGACGGGTCAACTGGCCTTGCGGGGGCAAAGGCTGTAAGCCGAGGACACACCAGAGTAGCGATGACTTCTGTCGTTTGACAACCACTGCTTCTGGGTTCTTGCAGTTTCATCTGTCATGCTGCCATGATGCGACATGAGCTGCAAGGCACTAACCATCCTGCGTTGGAGATTGACCATAGCCGTGTAAAGTTGCGTAGTGTGCCTGACCTATCGTGAATTGCAGCGCAACGATGCACAGCTCCCCAGAATGGAAGCTGACTCTGAGTCACAAGGTTCGCACCGTTCGGTGACCCGCTGCTGATATCTCGCATGCAAGCCTGAGCGAACATGAACGAAGAAGGCCACCCCGTGACCCCAACTTCGCTGTTTTGCAGGTGGGCATCTACGACGAAAACACATGCTGGTGCCAGGGCCAGGGCTATCCCGGATATCAGAATGGACGGCCGCGAGCCATCCGGATCAATCTAGGCAAGGCCGCGGTCACCGCTATTGAACATTTGTACATCTCTCGTTTTACATCACATAACTCCTCGTGCAGCCTTCTCAACCCAACCTCCGAAATAAACAAAAGTGCATGCAGACACCAGTAGCGACTGGGCCAGTTGCTTGTGTTTTGACAAACAGGTTGGTGCAACAGCCTTTTCTATGTGGGCAACATGGTGCACGAAATCGGCCATGCCCTGGGCATGAACCACGAGCAGCTTGGTCACCAGCGGGCAGAGGAAGCAGCACGTAGGATGTGCCGAGGGCATGGGTCGGTCATGGTGTCTTGCATCCAGGCAGAAGCGCCCGGACGCCTATCAGAAGTTCCATGGCCACGGGCCTCACATCGTGGTGCATTGGCACAACATTGCGCCGGACTTAGTAGTTTGATCACCCAGGCATTTTCATGCTGCGTGGAGCAGCGACTGAATCTACTGGTAGATAGCGGTTGGGTTGAGCGTCCTTTCTGGCGGCAATTGCCTGTGCTTCTGAGGAAGCTAACTGGAGGTCTCAGAAACCCGGCCGCAAAAGCTTTTTGTCGGTCGAACGTCTTCATGTCGGAAGTCGGAACCAGGGACCAATGCTAAGGACATCGGCCGTCAGTTAGGCCTGTTGCCCAGATGTCTCAGGTACACGCACAACCAGCACACCTACACTGGTTCAAACTACCAGGGAGTCGGCGACAGACACTTGGAAGGGCGAAAGTCGGAGGATTGAAAGCCACATAATGGTCTTGAAGTGACGTCTTTTGCAGATGCAGCGGCAGAATCTAAAAGCAGCTAAACGCAGCTACAAACTTTCAAACGCTAAATTAGGTAACATATGTCATGAACTTTACTTGAGGGCTCCGCGCCTGCTCCTTCCAGCAAGTTTCGTGCGGAGGCTTTCACGGCTACGCTCCTTACGACTATGCCGCTCGGACCGGGCCCAGGTGCGACATCGTAGAGAAGACAAGACAGGAGGTCGAGCACCACGAATGTCCGAGAGCAAGGCACACCAGAGGCACACGACCCAGCCCCAGTTGCGGCCTAACTAGTTCCCCAATCACAAGAAGGCCCGAGATCACACACAAGCGTGTGGAGATGCGAACAAGCAAAGTGAGGCCGTCTCGATGGTGCAGAGGAGTGTGATGGTGTCGCTCAGGAAAGCATCATGCACTACCCGCTGACGGACGCTTACGACCCCATTGAGCCTGCAGTAGCGGTGCCTCTCACGCGGGAAAATGTAGTTGAAACTAGTGCTCTAGCGTTTAACCCTTCTTTTTTCCATTTCTTCGTCAGTCCGAGGGCCTCCTGGGCAACCGTGAATACCTGTCAGAAGGTGACCTTTCACAGGTCAACGACATGTACCAGTGCAAGGACGGAGAGCGAAAGTGCGAGGGCAGAAGTGCTGCGCGTCTCCCTCACCGCAAGCTGCCATCCAAGTCAAGCGGATCGCAAGGAGAAGCTGGTCCGTGCAATCACACTCAGATGTGCTTTTGAAGCGGATCTGTGCGATTGGCGGGATGTAGGTGACTCTGCAGAAGTTGCCCGACGCAATTAGAAGCGGACGTGGAGGGGATTTCCAGCGTCTTGCCGGCAAAGTGCCAACGAAATGAGACAACTAAGGCAAAGTGGCGCGTTCGCACTGGAGCTGCAGATTCAGGACTGTCGGTACCAGAGGTTCTTCCCGGAAAACTGTGTAATCTAGGAGCTGAGACGGGCCCCCAGTTGCCCTTGACAGCACTTTCAGACTCTCAGGGATTCTCAGGGCGTTTTTTGGGGTTCTCGCTGAGAGTGTTGAGAGGAGGAGGGCCCGGACGCGGTGCTGGGCAGACCTTAGGCTATGCATGGGCAGAGGCCCGACTCGTGACGTGCAGACTCGAAACGGTAGAGCTTTGCCTTCGCCTGCTTTCGGGCAGGTTCTCCAGCATCCAGGGCAGGCGCTGGGGCTGGGGGGCTCCGTGTGGGGTTCGTAGCTTCTTCGCCGTCGTCGAGACAGTCTGTGACAGCCCTTCGAAGGCTTTCGTGCTGCAGAGCCCCTACCTGGATGTTACAAAGCATTACAAGCTTCGGTTCAACTTCTTCTCGTCGGTGGGGATGCTGGAGGTGGACTACCAGGCTCGTGTCTAAATGGGATTCTCGGAATGCTACGGACTGCAAGAGATGCGGCACTCAAATCTTCCGGCTTTTTGTCGTGCGCGCATCGCTCTGTCATTTACGACAGGTGCCGGCTTTTGCGAAGCTGCTTCTATCTGCTACCGCTACAGAACCCTAAGTGCATGATGTGCATGAGAACTGAAGCTCCGTAGAACACGACTTTAGGCATCGCCCATTTTCGCAGGATGCTCTGGGCATGACCAAGAAGCTCTGGAGCAATAGCACGGCGTCGTCAGAGTGGACGCTCAAGGAGCCTCCGTTTCCAAAATGTTGAGCAAGCATGGCAACCACATTGCACTAAACCTGATAGGGGCCACGAACCCG